GCGTGTTGCGAGGCAGCAGCTTTCTCACGTGCAGATACGTCTTGTCGCCCACCGCTTCGATCGGATCCGTACATTGAACCGATTGACAGTATTCCGCGATACTCAAGACGTCCAATAAATATTTTACATCTTCCGTGGATGATTCGCCCTCAAAATCATCAGGTTTGATCTGCAGCTTCTCAACGTGTTTGATTGAAAATATCCAGAACGTCGCGGTTGACTTCGACCGCTAATAGCTCTTGGGATGCCAGGATTCGACGGTTAACCACATGAGGGTTTCTCATTCAGATCCCGATGACTTTCCAAAATTGTGAGTTGCTGCTTAGTGCTCTCACTAACGACCTCCTCAAAATTCATTTTTTCTACCTAATACTACGTTGTCACGTCGCGTGTGTGAATAGTAGCAGTGAAAGTGCGTTTTTTTGTTTCTGGGTTTAAAGATTAGTATGTGGCAAGTATGGATAATGGAAAGATAGGGTGTAAGTAGGGGATACGATGAAAATTAAGGGATATAGTAGGATGCAAGTAGAGAAAAGTAGTATAGAAGTGTTTAGAGAACGTGGTAGGATGAGGTTATGTTGACGAGTCAGTTACGCGGTAAAGGTAATGTAAATAATGGGTTTAGTTGTTTAGGGTTTAAGAGATGGTTTTTCTAAAACATTTAAGAAAGTACAGACATAACGAAAAATGTCTCAAACACGTCTCAATAAAAAATCATGATTTTTTTTATTTTTTCACAGGCTGTGGAAATGCACGACCTGCCAGAAGACACTGGGCAGCAAACTGCAATTGAAATTTCACAATAAAATGCATACTGAGGGCCGATATCACAGTCTCCAATTAAAGTGATACCCCGATTAAACTCACTCTGCATCTCTTTCTAACTATCCCCCTAGAAAGAGACATAGAGTTGAGTTTAATCGGAGGATCACGTTAATCGGAGACTGTGATATCGGCCCCGAGTCTTGGAATGTTTCATCCACGGAACCGGACAGTTCTCAGAAAGATCTTACTTCCTCGAACCCCGGCCGAACCGTTTTACTATCAAATAATTAAGAGACATGCGCTGCCTGTAGGAAGAATTTCCAGAGCACAATACAGTCGGAGACGCTTGTTTCTTCTGGCATGAACAGCTCGGTAGGGTGTAACACTCTGCTGCAGTGCCACATGTGCGGCGATCGAGGTTTCACGACAGAGAGATCGAAGGTATAAGAAACATTTCCTAGATATTTATTAATAGATGTTTATTAATAAAAATCATTTTTCTCATCTCAGATTACACACGAAACCGCACAAGTGCAACATATGCGACAAGTCATTTAGCGCGAGCACCATCCTCAAAAATCACATGAAGAGTCACGCACGGGAGAAGCTCAAGATATCGCCGGAAGCGGAGAGCCTAGTGCCGCAAGTGGTACTGCCAGAACCACTCGTCATCAGCGATGCCGATAATAAAATCAGCGTGGTGCAGGTGCAGTCGAAACAGAAACAATTGTACGAAGGTGTCAGTGTAGCCAGGCCGCACGAGTGTTGGGTTTGTCACGCAGCGTTCAAGAAAGTCAGCCACTTGAAGCAACATTATCGCAGGCACACTGGCGAGCGTCCTTACAAGTGCTCCAAGTGCGACAGGTTTGCAATCTGACGTTTCTGTAGTCTAATATCAAATTGATCAAAAAATCTCTTCAGTATAAGAACCATATACACAGAAACACAAAAAAAATAAATCTTTTGATTAATCTATTTGCGTAATTTAACTTTTAATATATCTTACGTTGCATACCGATCAGAATGCTTACGTTTCTTGGTTTGCAGGTGGTTTACGTCGAACAGCGTTCTGAAATTTCACCTGCATACGCACGACGACGCGAGGCCGTACAGTTGTTCGATGTGCGACACGAAATTCTTGACGCGGGGCAGCATGAAGAGGCACTTAGTCACGCATAGCAATAAAAGATCGTACATGTGTCCGTACTGCCAAAAGACGTTTAAGACGAACGTCAGTTGCCGGAAGCACATAAAAAGTCACAAGCACGAGCTCGCGCAACAGGTTGGTATATTTAACGTATGTTGTAGAAAGTATTAGAAGTATTAAAATCTCATACGCACGAACAGCAATTAGAGGAACAAAAGACGCAGAATCAGAAGGAGCCGCAGCCTTTGAGCGAGGATAAAGGAGCTACCTCAGCATTACCGGGGAGCATCACTCTCGCCGAAGATATGAAGGTGTCGTTTCAACCGCAAATGGCGCCGGATACACAGGTCTTCTCCGATCAGTTCCAAAGTCTCAGTGCGGAGAAAGAGAAATCCTTTTTACTCCCGGACAACGCAACGTTGTTGATAGTGAATCGTATGTTTCCCAAAAGATATAAATTACATGCAAAATTTTACAGAAAAATCAATTAAGCATGTAGAAATAAACGAGAATTAAATCTATTTATATATATGATTCCAGAAAATTTATCTGTCGGCACAACTAATTTAGGAACATCGCAAACGCTACACGCCGATGAAACCGGTACTATCACGTTACCTAATTACTCAGGGGATCAAACTTTCACGCCGGTAATTCCAATATTCATAAGAGATTTATAAATGTGTTGAAATATAAAGAGTGATGAGTAAGACGTTCGGAAAATTTTGTAGGAAATCAAACGAGAGATCGAAGAGACTCTGAATCAGCAACTGTTTAATATCGACATGAATCTCGGGCTGGAAGCAAACAATCTACCAAGGCAGATGGACGAGGCGAACACGAGTTCTCTCAACAATTCCAGAGAACAACCGGTGCTCAATATTATATATGAGCAAAACAAGAATCTGGAATCATCGAGCAATACCATATTCATGTCACAATTCGAATCGTTTGATATGAAACAAATTAAATTGCAGGTAAATGCATTTTCTATGTAAAAGCGATATGGTTTTAGAACCTACGCGTAGGCTCGATACAAAAGTATCTCAATAAAATATTAATATTCTATAATCATGAAATGATATTAATAATCGATTTTGCAGACGGATAACGATATGGACATCGATCTAAATCCGACCAACTCCACGAGTATGTCCAGTATTTTGCCCAGATCCATGGGAAACAACCAGCAAGAGGAACAACGGGCTGCTCCAGTTACCACAAACAGCAATGTAGACGCTTCTCAAATTACGAGAAACACTCATCTGGT